GTTGGGCACTGAGGTCACGGTCTCAGGTCACTAAGACCAACACTAATCCAATTTCCTTTTCAGGCACCTCCAGAAGAACCCTTCCACGGTGTGGGCAACCGGGAAGTGATAACCGCCTCTAACAGCACTTCATAATCAACGTATTAGTAAAATATCAAATACATCATTTGCACATTTTAGAATTGTCTCTTATGTGCTACATCGTTTGTTCATTCCTGTTGTTGTTTTGATTGTTTTCCGTTTCCTTCGTTTCATTTCAACCTACTGCTCGTAGACATTCTGTGATGTGCGCTACTGATATCGGCATGAGTAGTATGTAACGCTAGTCAGGAATAGTATATCTGGCAGCAGAAGGTCAAGAAGATCGAGGAGGAAAGAACGAGAACAGGAAGTAATTTGTATGGAAATGCAGGAGCAATGAAGTCGAACGAACATTTTGCAAATGAAGTATTTACTATATGGTTCTCAGTCTTACTGAGACATTCTGAATGTAACCGAGGTCATATTATGGATGGATAACAGTTACAGTGCCATTGAAAATAAGATAGCACTGGGTAGACGTTTCTTTCTAGTATGAAGTTCTTCAACGGTGAGCATACATTGTACCCCGCGACACCGATATACAGTCTCGATAAGAGTGCTTAATCCGTACGACACAGTTTAGGCTCAGTGGTCGAGATTATTGACTTCGATTTCTTTTCTTTATAGTATGGCAAAACTCAACGAAATTCAGGTTATTAGATTGGTCAACGAACAAAACATTTGTTTTGAGATAACGGTGATAGAAATGATTCATCCCAGGGAATCTATGTAATAAAGTATTTCATATCCATCACCGCTTATCTGAAAGTTAGTAACAATAAGATAGTGAATGTATTAAAGAGATAGAATGTTGAAGTCAGCGTCCGTATCATTATCAAAATTTCAATTATACTGACTTTTGAGTGGACTGTTTACAATAGAAATATTGATATATCTTTAATATCCCAAAGGCGAGAAAATTGAACTTCTGATGCATTTCAGCCTAGCCTACAATTCTTTTCCAAAGAATATATAGCACAGAGAAACAAAGCATAATACTTAGAATACCTCCAACAAGAACTGATTGTTAAGAGTGTGGGATTTTCTTAGCAAATGTCCCTCTCCACACCCCACCTGTACCCTTCATTTAATCAAAAGCGTCAAATCAATCGGTCAATTAAATGCATATTTCCGGGGACTATTAAAATAGTGATTCTAGATTCTAGGTATCGGATTCTAATAACGATCATCACTGTCGTTTGCCATGTCCATTTTTAGGAGTGAAGATTATATAATTTTCGGAGGTATTTACTGTTGTAGAATTTTCGATGAAAACAGAATTCTCGAGACAACCAAAGACTTATGTGGATGGAACTCTCATCTCATGATGAGACAGTTGTCGAAATTCATGTGATTTCCACATGAAATATGTATGTCAAATTAAGTCATCTTCATTGATCAATAAATTCTCAGGCACTACTAAGAATGGTTTTGAAATTCGTTCTTTACTTGGTAATATAGATAACTCGTCGGTTGTGTATGTGAATCTTATTCATATATTCGGACTGAAAGGCTTTTACGCATTATCCTGATGATCATTATTACAATCATGAGTTGTTGTATCTCATGGGAATAACCATAGTTTCCGCTGTTTAACGACTAATTTCGAGAAAACTATTCACCCTTTTACTGATTTATTGGACTGTCTTATGTTGAAGATTTTGTGCATTCTCATTACAATTAGAAAATGATTACCAAAGATGTTTTCAACAAACGACAACATGTTCATAAAAAATCAGAACTTGCAGGTTTGTGTGACTCATATTATAAACTTTACTTAGTGGTTGATTTTAAACCTTAGCTGTCAGTCAGTCAGCTACAACATAGGACCAGGCACATATATGAATCGGTCCAAATTGCCACATCTCATTAGCACAACAAGATGATCACCAAATTCATAGGGGTAGTTACTTCAATGGTAGTAATATATAAAAGAAAGATTGTGTATAAGGATATAATACAACAAGAAAGAATTAGTTTGTAGAAAGAAAGGTATAAAATAATTCTAATCTCACAGTTCAAGGGTTCCTTAGCTGTACATTTGTAACACAAATTAGAAAGAAAATGTAGCTCGTCAACTTACGGACGTAGTTTTCCGTTGTTGGTATTCACAATTCCAAATGATCAGTCTCTACTGTTTTTACTGGTTAACAAAAATTGCCTAGTTGATTTCCATTCATCTTTTTAACTCTAAGAATGGATTTTTATCATTGTTCTATTAATTCATCCTATTTCTATTTTCGAAATATGCAAAATACATAAAGAGTACTTGATATTTTCATTACCAGTAGATTATTTTAATAATAACATGTGTTTCACTATCAATTTTAAACAAGTATTGCCCCCAAATGCCCTGGTACGGCCGAGAGTGGGGAGAGTCCGCTCTTTCTCTCGAGATGCTCTCATATGGTCACGCGTATATAGCCTCTGACAGGGAAGTCCTACTCACTCCCTTCTCGTACCACGGGTGTTGTTTACCAAATTGAGAGGACGAAAAGCGAATGTCTGGCGCTTTAACCGGGTTGGTGGACATGGAGAGTCCACCTAGGGGAGTTGGAAAACGCTGATTCTAAACCAATGGTGCACATGAACTACAGTATCCTGAGGAAACAAATGGCGTATGAACCAGTTTTTGGTCACCGGCTACCATGGGACTGCATCTCCTTACGATGCTCCACTGCCTTGTGGATCAGACCTTCAGGTGGAAGGCTCGGGGTGTGGCCCCCTAAGAAAACTACCTACTTTGGTTTGGGCACCCGTGCAGTATCACAGCCCTCACCCATATCAAATGAGATCTGTGTGACGCATATGTATTTGGTGCCTTCTTGTACCAATATATATGTGTTAAAATCAATAAAATAAAAATTAAACAAGCATTATTAAGATTTAATCAATATGAAGGCGTACCACCTTAAGCCCTGTTTATACAAACGAGAACTTAATAAGGGTTGTAAAGATTATTAAGACCTAATATTGATTTACAAGTTTCCTCAAAATCAATACATTTTACAATAAAAATCAATTTAACATTTTATCACTTTGTAACTATTTTTGTCACACTTTAATCATTATGGTTTCTATGCTGATTTAGGTAATCAACTCATCTAAGAATATTCGTTATCTGTATGTCATTAACGTTTGTATTAATGATAATATCTTTGCTTAAATCAAGTTATTTAGACACCTATGAACAGAAATTTAATAGAGAAAATATAGAAAATCAAAGAGGAAGAAACATTTTGGTGGAGTTTTGTTCTTTGAGCTGGATGGTTTTGTCGTGGAGTTGTCATCATTCTTCTGAACGACATCATCAGCACAAAATTAAGTTAGAAGAAACATAAAAAAGACTAGTGGACTTCCATAAACTTGGTACTCAAATTAGTTTAGGAAGATTGAAAATTTTACAATTAAATTGACTACCCTACGAACATGACATAATTTTTTTATCTAAGGATATTTGTTATCAGCTTAAAATGGGCATGTTTCTTTAATGGATTACATAATTGTTCTAGGGAGCATACACCACAGTATCACTAATGGAATTGAGGAGGATGTCTGATAATGAAACTGGTAGTCTGGATTTTTGATGAGGCAAAAGTAACATTTTCACTGTAGAAGGATCCATTGGTTTTGTTCATTGTTTATGAAATAAAATTGGCAATACTATTTCTATCACACTCAACTGGTTGTTAGTTTGGAAGCTGACACTTCTGAATGTCAGAAACTGTAAGACAATATGAAACTGTCACGAATGAATATTAGTTCAAGTTGTCACACACTATTTCAGTATACTAGTCCTAAAACGATAACTAGATAATATCGATTGAAGTATAAAGCTCAATGTGAGCTATATTTTGTTTATGATGAACTCATGAGACCGGAACATTGAAAGTATCGCATAATACTAAGCTTAATTTTTAGGGAAAGATGAACAGATGCATCTACGACCAATGTTGAACCAGAAAACTGAACATTTTACAGTATAACTGCGAGTATCTATCAGGTTACCTACAATTTCCTTCACTACGAGTGAACATTTCATGTCAGGGTGAGCAGTATATAACCATATGTGACACATCTCAACCACTTAAATCAGTGAAATGCCTATAATTACACCAACCAACTTAAACAGTATGTCATTGGGCCTTATAACTAACCTCTATGTTATATAGTTATTTCAGCATACATTTTCAAAAGTTTGAAGAGATCTATACTTGAATATGTAAAACATCTGCATATTTTCAACTTTCAAAGTCCGTATTTCATAGTTATGAAATAATATAAAGTAGATTACTGCATTCATCTTTATGTATTATAACAGAAGTAATTCAGAAAGAATATATGATGAAAAACTTTCATTATTATTCAATCTGAACTGGATTAAATATCTCCTTATTGGCTAGTAACACATACATTTTTGTTTTAGTCCATATATTTTACTCAATGCTATGTAAATTAAGAACATGTTGTGTTCGTGTTTACTTACTCGAGTAACATATTTGTAAACTGTAGTCCACTCTCCCTCTCGAAATGCCCTCACATAGCCATGCGTATACAGCCACTGACAGGGAAATCCCACTCACTACCTCCTCGCAGTGGAGCTGTTGTTTACGAAATTGAGAGGACGAAAAGAGAATATCCGGCGCTTTAACCGTGTTGATGGACACAAAGAGTCCATCTAGGGAAGTTGGAAAACCCTGATTCCAAACCAAGGATATCCTGAAGGAACAAATGGCATATGAACTAATTGTTTGTCATCGGGTATTATGGGACTGCATCTCTTAACTTTGTTTCACTGCCTTGTGGATTAAACCTCTAGGTCAAAGGCTCCAGTTATGCCATCCCCCCCTAGGAAAATCACCTGATTCGGTTTAAGCATCCGGACAGAATCACAGCCCATATACAAATAAAATGAAATATTGTTTGGCGCATGTATATTCGGTGACCATTTGTACCAATATTTATAAGTTCAAATAAATAAATGTAGTTATACTGTTAAGTGAATTCGAAATGTATACTAGTTTGTAATTCAGTTTTCCAGTTATATAGATAGATAGATAGTTAGTTAGATGGATAGTTTATTTGTTTACATGCTTTAATGAGTAAGTAAATAGATAAGTGAATAATAATAATAAGAAGAAAAGCAACCAAATATCCAATTCATAATAGAAAGATAATATTGGTAATACTCAATGAATGAAATAATGAAATAAAATGAATGACATATATAAATGAAATAAATAAGATCAGTAAGTAGTATAATGATTTTTTTCGAGATATATCATCAATACATAGTCAAATACACTAATGGATAATAGATATAATAGTTCATATGGTCACAATATATCAATAAGAGTTCATCATGTTATGTAATATAAATGCACACTTTTTTTTAATAATAATTTTAATCAACTATTACACGAATAGAATCTTCAAATAATGCTATAACCAGCATAATTCCAACACCAGTTATTAAACCAGTTGTTTGAATCATTAATTGACCAATACGTGTTTGACCTGGTCTCAATTCAACTGAATTCAGTTCAGGTAACTAGAATTATTGATAAAACAATCAACAAAATTATTGAATATCGTTAAATTCATTCATTCAATAGAATTAAATCCATTACGTGTCAATTAATCGTGGCTTATCTTTGGGGTATTTGGTAGAATGTTAAAGAGAATTTGATAATAATGAGGGTGATTTATCACTCGAAAATTAGATGATTGGTTTAAGCTGTCATACACATTTGATATGGATGTTTTATTTTAACTTTGTTGTTGTTGTTGTTGTTATCGTTGTGAAAGGATTTCTGTTAGCTAATGAATGATAAATAATAACAGGAATCCTTGAGATTAGATTTAGATCTTGGTGCATTCTCAATCTTTAGCTGAATTATATTCTTTATGGAACTGAATTCTATTTCATGAGAGCCGTTTCCACTGAGCTATTATGACATTGGTTTAAACCCTATGGAAATTATCACTTCTACTGCCATTACAGATAAACTTTGGTGATGACTTAGTTAGCACAAAAACTAGGTCTAGGTCATTCAAGTCATTCGCTGCAATCACTTAACGTTAAGCTAAATACATCAAGATGTTTATATTTAGTGACTACATTATTATTTGACTGATATTTATTAATTTATTTGAACACATAGATATTGGTACAAGAAGGCACCAAATACATATGCGTCACACAGATCTCATTTGATATGGGTGAGGGCTGTGATACTGCACAGGTGCCCAAACCAAAGCAGGTCGTTTTCTGTGGGGGCCACACCCCGAGCCTTCCACCTGAAGGTCTGATTCACAAGGCAGTGGAGCATCGTAAGGAGATGCAGTCCCATGGTAGCCGGTGACCAAAAACTGGTTCATACGCCATTTGTTTCCGCAGGATACTGGAGTTCATGTGCACCATTGGTTTGGAATCAGTGTTTTCCAACTCCCCTAGGTGGACTCTCCGTGTCCACCAACCCGATTAAAGCGCCAGACATTCGCTTTTCGTCCTCTCAATTTGGTAAACGACACCCGTGGTACGAGAATGCAGTGAGTAGGACTTCCCTGGTAGAGGCTATATACGCGTGACCATGTGAGAGCATTTCGAGAGGGATGGCGGCCTGTCCTCACTCTCGGCCGTACCAGGCCATTTGGAGGCTTGGTTGGCACTATCGAATAGTAATATGCTATTAATTACCTTGGTGTCATCAGTTAGTTTGTGCTGGAATTTCCAGAAAAAACAGTTAAAGATGTTGTACATTTATGACTCAAATAACACTTGACCTGAAGGAATGTATTTTTTAAATATGCGATGATATAAATGTTAACCATTCTTCACTGACTTATCAGTAGTATAGTAACATTTTTAGCGTGTTACTTATTGTTGCATTATCTGACCAAATGGTACTTCGTAAGACTAATAGAAGCTTGCATCTACACATATGATTGGAAGTAGTTAAATTAGTTAGATAGTTTAATGTATGCGACTAGGCTTCATATAATAATCGATCTTCAACACACACATGCCATTCTGATTGAGATCATGAAACGATTGATGTTAGACCACCTTTGGAAACCTGGAAGCACTGGACGGCCGTTTCGCCTTATTGTGGGACTTCTCAGCAGTGCGCATCCACGATCCCGCTCTCACGATTCGAAGCCAGGGCCTTAAGTCTCGCGCGCGAACGCTTAACTTACTTGACCACTGAGCCGGCACCCAATGATGATAGTGTCTAACATGCCATTCTGGCTTAATTTTGATATAATTATAGCATTTCTGTAGCCAATCAAAGGCCAAATTTCCTTATTCATACCTATCAGATATAGTCTCCAGACATTTGTAAGCAGATATTAGATTAAAATTAAAAATAATAAAAATGACTGATAATGGTTCAAAGTTTTGGGTAAATAAAACTTATTGAACATCGAAAATGTTGCTGATAACCTCAGCTAGGATATATGGCTAAAAACGAATGAAACAAAGACTATAATTGCTTTTTTACTTCGATCGTATCGGTTGAACTCTACTGGTCACGGCTTCTCACTAGAACTCGGAGAATTACCTCTCGAAACTAGTCACTAGTGCGCACGTGATACTTATCAGTATAGGGTTGTGGAGACTGTTGAGTTTTTAGTTGAGATCATGAATGGATCAATGTTAGACCACCATTGAAAACCTGGAAGCACTGGACGACTGTTTCTTCATAGTATGGAACTCCTCACCAGTGCACACTCACGATCTCCACAACCCTATACTGATAATTGTCATTTGCTCACTAGTGAATAGCTTTAAGAGGTAATTCTCGGAGTTCAAGTGAAAAGCCATGACCAGAGAAGTTCAACCGTGTAGAGTGTGAGGAAGTTTACTATCGAATCAATGAAATGTGTCTAACAGTATGAAACTATAACTGATTAAATTTCAGTCAAAATATCAATAACTCAATAATTTAAATTATTACATATTCAATTATGATTCTGTTATATTACGATGAGAATAATGAATGGTAACTGTCGGAATCTATTTCTGGACTAATACTACACGTATATTTTGATCGTATAATTGTTAAGTAACTAAACTGTTCATATTCGTGTTCCTCTTATCATGAGCTTTATTTTGACTTATGAACTATTATTACACAATTTACCATTCTTGAGTTATCCCCAGTTTAATAATTACTATCTCCCACATTGACAGCTACTTTTGGCTAGATCTTGTACAAATGCTATTTTCCATTTTATGGTACGATGTGATCTGTTTGAACCGTATATAAACCCAGTATGTTTGAAATACATAATTCATATCGCAGATGCTGAGATTGGTGTTCTGAACTTTACTGGCTGGGCTAGGCAGGAAACAGGACCGATAAGGCCTTTAGACTGCTCGTACTTGTTTTATGTGTCTTTGGTCCGGTCGATAATTCACTGTTCTCTAATTGGCGGTATCATCACGTTATACAATGATAAGGGCACAAACTCACAAGCTATAACAAATTCTTTTCATTTTACTTACCATATCGACAAGTGCAATATAGATAAATGTTCCAGCAGTAATTGCAAATATCCAGTAACTTGCCGATTCTACATTGCCAACACCTATACCAACTAACATTCCAAATAAACAAAGAATTGATGAGATAATATTGAAAAACATTGCTTCTTTAATCCGCATACCAGTTTTTAAAAGTACAGCAAAATCACCTGTGAATAAAAAAGCATTGGAATATAACAAAAATGTTTAAATTCTTTGTGTGGCAACATTCTACTATTATGATATGATCGATTTTACTCTATCATTACCAAGGATTATTATTTACTTTTCAGCAGTCAGTTATTATATATTTATGTCAGTCAGTCAGTCAGTAACAACGTAGAACTTTGTACGTACGTGCATCAGTTCAAGTTGCCATACCACATTAACACAGAGGTGCAGTTGTCGATTCAAATCCCATAGTGGTAGAGGTGGTAAAAGTATAAGCAGTAATCGGAAAGATTAGGGTTTGAAGATGTTTTACAAGGAGTATAGTATAGTGAAATAAATTTGGAAAGAGAAAAACAAAAAAGGGACATAAAGCATACAGAAGATTAGAATTTGGGAGAACACAAAGAGTAGATGCACCTGTATATATTTATGATTGGAATGTATCACGTACCAAATAGTCCATTAATCAGCACATTACAGTGGGTTAGCAAATTAAAATTTAGTGGTCATTTAAGAAGTATGTAAGTAAACTTATCCAGAATACACCTTGGCGAGACTATAAGTTATGGACGAACCAATCAGGTCTCGGATTTTGGCACGAAATTCACTTACGCATTTAGTTAAAAAGAGTTTTGGCATTATAGCTGATGTCATTTCGTGATGAAAACCCTAAATGTAATTCGTAAACTTAACCATCAACTGTAAATTATAATTATAATTCCTCACACAGGTTCATAACCCTCATTTAGTCATGGTTATTAAGTGGACACTCTCAAGGTCAGTCTGGCGTCGCTCATAGGTCGTCCATAAATTATAGTCTCACCTACACCTCGAGTTAAACGTTATCTCATTATCATCGCTAATTAATTAGAATTAGGATGGGTTGTGGAGGTTGTTGAATTTCACTGAAACCAAGGACCAATCTAAGTTAGACTACAATTGAAAACCTGTAAGCACTGAAAAGTCGTTTCTCCCTCGTACGGCACCCCTCAGCATTGGCATTCACAATCATCACACAAGAAATCAAATTCAGGACCTTCGTTCTCAGATGTAAACACTTATCCTTTAGATCACTGGGTCAGCATCTAGCGGTATCAATATCTAATCCTAATCAATCCATGATATTGTCGTTCAGTGTTTTCGAATTTTCAATAGTGATCTAACTTTGGTTAGTTCATGATTTCAATAAATTTAGGATGGTTCATCTTATTTGGTAATTCACACAAATTGAAAAATGATATAGTTTATCAAGATGGTGCTCTCTAAGTAAGATATCATTTATTTATTCTCCTCTAAATGAAAATAATCCTCAAGGCAATACAAAAAAATGAGTTTGGTGGGTTTTTTGTGAATTACGTGACATGGTATTCTAGCAACCATGAGTCGCATTATCTCTAATGAAATACTTTTTCAATGTTAGAGTGATACAGAGTTTATAAAATAGTTTGATTTACCCAGTACAACTTCACGAAATTAATTACAAACATTCTGGTGGGCAATATTTTAACTACATGTTCATAATTACTCTTTTCCACTTCATTTCCTTATCAGTTGTTGGTATGAACAGTTTGTAAAGATTATTCGATTCTAAATTAGTTGATGTTATATAATGACATTGGTCAAACATGAAGTGGCAATTACAGGACATTGAACAATTGTGATGGTGGAGAAGAAGAAAAACCGAACATAATCTACAAAATAAAATGTCCCAAATCCGAAAAATACTACATCGCACAAAATGGACGCCCCCTTCATCTTCTCCTACACGAACATCAATTAGCAGTCAAGCGCCCTGAAATATCTTCGCTTATTTCAATGCATGTGGACAATTGTGGACACATATTCGACTGGAAAAATGTTGAGATCTTGGATAAGGGGAATACTAAATGCACCAGAGAATTTTTAGAAGCTTGACACCCAGGTCGGTCAGCACTCAACAAACACATTGAAATCGATATAATCTATCAACCAACCAGAAGAATCATGGGGAAATTTAGGACCAGGAATCAAATCGAAGGGAGATACAATGAAAATGAAGAAGTAAACAATGACAGGTTAAAGGTGAACAATAACCAATCAAGATCGAGGTCGACAAGCTGTGGTTCATATATGGAGAAATTCGAACAATTCACTTTTACCTGAAGTTTGTGTTGATACTGTTGTTCAGAAGAATAATGAAAGCTTGACGACCAAATCGTCCATATAAATCACTGGACAATTTCTCGGTTCCTGTTTGAGACTACTTATTATTGGCCATCTTCGACCTCTCCGTGGGGGTTAAACCTTAACCTGATCTTCAAGCCTCAATTATTAGAATGAACATTATCGAGGTTAATCAGAATTTATCCCAAAGCATAAAATTTGCGAACTCAAATCGCTTAATTTATGTAATCGCATTGTGTAATGTGAGAATTGAATGATTATATTACTACTTGTACCAAACGTACTGGTATTTACTAATATATCTCAAGTAATATTACATAATCAGCCGAAAATGTAAGATGATTATGAAGACTGTGAAAATTTTGGGAGTTCATTAGAAATTTTATTGACACGTATACAAGCGGTAAAAAATGTAGTCTTAACTTGGAAGAGACAATTTTATGGTCGGTTCACATGATAGCTATTACAAATTGGGTCTAACTGAACTCATATTAATGGAGCGGACAATGAAACGGTCTGAAAATCCTAAATTAAGTATAATTTAACAGAAATGGAGGGAACGAAGCCTACGTCAGGAGAGATGTTCTTGACGAATTAGGATTAAATGTATCACACTTTAGTATCAACTAACAGAATGACTATAATACAAACATTCATAGCTATTTAAGACTGAGGTCATGCCCCTGGTTAGAGTATAACGACGTTTTAGTCATTCTATCGCCCTTTTATTCATTTTGCAGGCGTAGGCTGAAGTGAAACTTTTGTTTTCAAACCGACAGGTCAATTAAGTTAAATTTAGGAAGCCTGGAGAACAGTTCATGCGGTTCTATCTTAGTGTAGCGGATGGTGCTAACAAGATTGTTTGTAAGTAGTGTTTAGCGGAACGTGGCGTCAAAATTGTAGCAGTTGTCAGATGGAGTGAGAGCTTCAGTACATTGAAAGTAAGACGTTGGCATAACACGTGAAGTCCAGATGAAGAGATGGTTCAGACTACCGAACACACCGAAATATGTAAATGGAAGAGTTAAGGCTATGTATATGTATGAATATTTTGTAATTTATCAAGAATAAACACTTTTCTTGACTATTGTTGTACTCTCTATTGCAAACTCTCCATAGTCGCCAAAATCAACTGGTTAAGAAGTTAAATCTATTCCTGAAACTTAAGGATGAAGCATATATCATTCATTGTCGAATTATTGTGTGATCTTTAAAGACATTTAATGTGCATTTTACATTACCTAGCTCGTGCGGTAGTTCATGGCAGAATACTGCAACACTTGTGCTAAGACCACCTGAAATGCTTTGAGCGAATGCAGCACCTGCAAAAAAGAAGCAAAGAAACTCTCAGATAATTGCCTAAATAATTTCGTCTTAAAATAACTAGGTGATAAACCGTTTGAAACAGTTGTTTAATGCTTGTTTCTTAAGACAGTATAATTAGGAATCCTTGATAATTGTTTTATACTGACCAATTCAAGGTACAAGGAAAATTCACTATGAATATAGTGAATGTCATAAACAAATCGATTTGAGTGTTTCAAATTCAGAAGAATGTGTTTTTGGTGGAGTTTTGTTCTCTGAGCTGGATGGTTTGGTCGTGGAGCTTTCATCGTTCTTCTGAACGACATCATCAGCACAAACTCCACGACAAAACCATCCAGCTCAGAGAACAAAACTCCACCAAAATCATCCACCTGAGCTACAAATCTTCTCCACCATCCAAGACGAATGTGTATTCGACGCTGTTTTAAGTTTGAGTTTATTTGGATTGGTTAGCTAGTTAGTTAGGATAGTAGATCAAACGGGTTATTTAAAGTAATGATGCGCGTTAGTAATTTTCATTACTAACTGACATCACCTAGAGAAACCTCGTAAATCATGAAGGATTGTAAAGTTTGTAGACTTCATAATAATGACTAAATAGATTTCCCAAAAAAGCACATAAATCAGATAACATCAGTCATTGGCATCGAAACCAGTTTACAGAGAAATCAACTGATTTATAAGATAAACATAAATTATACTGGTGCTAGGCAAACCAATTTCTAGATGAATATATTTGACACAAGATAGCCAATTAAAAGACATTTTAACACTTAAATATGTGATTAGTCATGAGTTTGAAACCATTGGGGTACCACTAAGAACTAATTAGAAATGGATAGCTATTTTGTCCTAGTAGTGCTGATCGGTGATTCTGTCAGGAACCGAAACGCCCTTGTTTCAGTTCCGCGATGAATCCTTGATCATTAGACCAGAGTTGAGATCCGATGGCTTTAATCAGTTCACGGCATAACACAAAGAACACTCATTTCAATCGGTGACGAATGTTGAATTGTCATTATGGATGTAATCAGTTAATCACTTGTTGGTACTGGAAAACTGACCGATAACAAACTATGGTAAATACCATTAAGAGATTAAACTTGTTTTCATAAAAAATTGATTAGTTCGAAACACGTGTGTTAAGTTTTTACATCCTGAATAGTGTAATACGAAACTGAAACTTATCAAAACTCAGGTCAAGAAGCGATATATATTCTCTAATATCCATGTCTAAACACCTATGAAAATGGCTAATTTTAGAGAAATCTCATGTAGTATATCTTAGGTGAAGGACGAAGATGAATGCGTTCCTGCTTACATGCGTTATCTGAGTTTACTTTCTTTTTCACAATTAATTATGTATCCTTTGTATCACCGTTATTCTATGCAATTATCTCTCTTTATTGCACACTTACATGGAAACAAAGAATTCAATAGATATGTAATGTTATCGTTTACATGCTATTTGAGGTTTTTGAAACATCACAGATGGTGGTCTCATAATTATTGATTATATTGGCTGTATACCAGTTCTACTTGCTATATCCCTAGTGAAGATTAAGGTACTAGTAACTTTTGGGACCTATTAATGGACTAATATCATCTCTATATTCTTATAGTATAAATAGTCAATAACTAAACTGTGTATATCTATATTCCTCTTATTATAAGCTTCGTTTTGACTTATAGACTATTATTGTACGATTTACTGTTCTTATGTTATACTCAGTTTATTAATTACTGTCTTCCACGTTCACAGCCACCTTTGGCTATATTTTGCATGAATGTTATTTTCTATTTTAATGGTAAGTTGCGGTCTGTTTGTTTAGTGTATAAACCCAGTATGTCTGAAATAAATGATTCGCATAGTGGAGGCTGTTGTTGGCATTCTGGACTCAGCTGGATGGGCTAGGCAAGAAACGGACCAGTAGGACGCTAGATTGATCAGACCCAACGAATGTCATTGGTTTAGTACAGTAAAAGGGTGAATAAGTCATATTTTGATTGGCGAATAGATTGCGCAATAACTAATCGGACGCATAAAGAAATAACATTACTAACCACCGATTTAAGATTCTGTTTCAAAGTATGATTATTTAACTCAGTTATAGATGGCAGGGTAATGTAGGCATCATTCTTTTGGCGTTAAAATTAGATTATGTATAGGTAATTAACAGTTTTTCGATAGTTTAAATTCTATATCAATTTTTTATTGAACAGACTTACTTATTTTTATTAAGTAGCATTTAGAAAAACATACTTGATCTTATCAAAAAGAATATTCCCTAAGAATTGTTTCCTTCTTAGCAGTGAAAATACTTACGTAACAGTGTTAATTTCCTGTTTATGTAACCTTTCCACAGATTAAACATTAAATTGATCTTTCTTTCTTCCAAGTATTAAGTTTATAGCCAGATTCTAATAAACTCTGTTTTGTCACTATACTACTTCACTGACTATTTTAATGTGACTAGTCCTATTTTGTAGTTTAGAATTTCTAATCATACTACTATTAGAAGCAATGATGGATAGTGGCTAGCAGTGGAATCCAAGATACGCGTTTTGTCCTATTTGGGACTCGTCAGTTAGATGTACTTGTACTGGAGAGTTGATGTTCGCTCTGGGACTTGAACTAGGTACCATTCACTTCAAACGCCATCGCGTTATCCACTCAGCTACTGAGTCCTGATAGCAACTTACTTGTGCACTGGGGTGAATTTAAATTCACTTGGTATTGTTTGGCTTGTATCTTCCCATTGAGGTTTAAGACTATCCATCATTACTTACAAAGCTTGTGAATTAAGGCAATATCGAGGCATACGCACAGTATGCAAATATGCCAATAACAGACTGATCAGTTGCAGTCTTAAACCTCAATGGGAAGATACAAGCCAAACAATACCAAGTGAATACTACTATTGAGTTATCAAAATAGTTCTTATGCAATTTTTAAGCGGTTTGTATACAATCTCATATGATATTACTGATTGTACGAATACCTATCTATGAATAACATGTAGCTTTCATGTATGATGGTGTGCCATGATGTATCAGATCCTACAGTGTTAATAGCCAACTAACTGCTAAAGATTATTAAATTGAATTATCCTTTGTGTATCTGTTTATTTGCTACGTCACATGTTATCCACATATGTTACTCAATATATACTTTTTTTGGCGAGACTATAATTTATGGAAGAACTAATCAAGTATAAGATAACAGGTTATGAATTTTGGCGCGAAATTCGCTCATTCATTTGGATAAATAGAGTTTTGGCATTATAGTTGATGTTAGTTGGTGATGAAAACCCTAAATCTAATTTCTAACCTTAATCATCAACTGTAAATCATAATTTTGATTTCTCACACAGGTTTATAACCCTCATTTAGTCCTGGTTATTACGTGGACACTCTCAAGGTCAATCTAGCGTCGCTCAACGCTTGTCGATAAATTATGATCTCATCACTTTTTTATAGACAAAAATGAATGAACCTCACAGTTGTAGGGAAAACTACAGACTTTATCAAAATGTATCAGCGTATAAAACTGACCGATAGCCATCCCATCTGTAAAATTATGTAGACCATCACCCATGATTACCATCCAAGCAACTGCGGCTACAGATTCTGGAACCTAAAAAGAAATAGGAATATACTAGACATTAATAGAAAAAAACTATCCAGTTTTTTATTTATTATAACATTTTCAGTAATGGATGATGATAAGCATCTATGACTTACAATATTATTCTCCTGCGTTATTCCAAGTTATTTATTTATCGAATGTTTAATAAAAGAGATTGAGTTGTATAGGTCCTTGAAGTCACTCATCAGGATTAGTGGCTAACCTTTTTATCATATAGTGAATATATTCTTAAACAAAAATTGTATATCTTCTATGTTACTGTTGAGCATTGTTTTATCAAATATAAATCATATAACGGAGTAACAATTTTCTTTTGGTCAAATGAACTGAAGGCAAATTAAAACTTGTTCATGTGAAGTAAATATGTTACAGTGCAAATAAAGATCAGGTAAAACTTGTTAAGATGCTTCTTTTTTTATTTTGTGCAGAAAATTTACTAATTTTTCAAATATCTACCATTGGAATAAGAGATTATTATTACTATTGTGGTGTATGCTACTGATATCGGTAGATATAAGTAGTCTGTATTATCAATCGGAAGTGAAATGCATGAAGGTAGAAGATTAAGAAAATCGAAAAAAAGAGAATGAAACCAGACAATGATTGGTGTGGAATCAAAAAATAAAAACAATGAAGTCTGAGACGACTGATTAATATTTTGCAAAAGATTTTTATTAAGAAATTCTGTCATTTTTTGTTCGAATACATTCGATTGTCCCGACGTGTTTTCTCGTTTACTACACTAACGACTAATATTCATAAGGATTAGTAATTAGGCGAAGTCTAGCTTATATATTATAACATTTCCAATTATTACTGAGAATCATAAAGAAATCAGACACCAGTTTTACTATTCGGATACATTAATCGATAGATATTGAATATAGTATAACTAAGTAGAGAGAAGGAAATCACGCGCGGTGGAGAAGGTGTATGAGCCAACTCATTTTAACCAAGTGTGAATTGATACTTATAGACAGGCGAAAATAAGTTACAGGCAAGTGATCGGTAGGAAAATCAATGTACGCATATACGCTCATATAAAAAACAGTCAAGGTTGATAGGTGAAGAATTGACAAGGTCATAGTGTGATTTAGGAAGAATCAATAAATTGGCTTGTCCAGAAGCCAGAGTAAACTATGTGAGCTTAACATAGCAGCCAACACTACAAAATTCACATCTTTTAGACACAAAACTAGTTTCTTTAAGAGTTAAGTGCAAGGTGTTAGAAGTCAAGGAGTTAGAAGCATATCTTTATCATTGAGAGCAAACGTTTATGTATAGAGTTTAATTTCAGTAGTTGAGATCATGAGTCAATTGATGCTAGACTACCATGGAAAACCTGGAAGCACTGAATGGCCGTTTCGTCCTATAGTGGGATTCCTCAGCAGTGCCACCCACTACCCCACCTCGCGGGTTTCGAAACCCAGGACCTATTAGTCTCGCGTGCCAGTGCTTAACCACTAACCACTGAACCGGTATTCAACGGTGTTAATGTCTAACTTTAACTAATTAAAATATTCAATTTATTATTACGTTTTAATGTTTTTGAATAAACCAATAACTGGCTCTAATACTAACAATTTATTTACTAATTCTACTGACCCAATAATCAGTTAATTACTACTTTAGAAACATCAGTAACTGATTTACAGTAATCAACCTATATGAATTAATAGAGTATCATTGTTCCTCTTGTAGTTTACATGGATATGAAAGATTCAGAAACTTGAAAAAGTTTAAAAAACAGAAGCTGAATTTTGTAGTAAAGCATTGAACTGGGAAATAACAATTATCACTTTGAAAGCATTCTATTTAATTCATGAACACTTTAATTACAGAACTTTTGACAGCATTGCCCCCAAATGCCCTGGAACGGCCGAGAGTGGGGAGAGGCAGCTCTCTCACTCTCTCCAAATGCTCTCACATGGTCACGCGTATATAACTTCTTCCAGGGAAGTCCTACTCATTACCTTCTCTTGGCGGGGGTGTTGTTTACCAAACTGAGAGGACGAAAAGTGAACGTCTGGCGCTTTAACCGGATTCCAGACCAATGGTGCACATGGACTCCAGTATCCTGAAGGAACAAATGGTGTGCCAACCAGTCGTTGGTCACCGGCTACCATGGGACTGCATCTCCTTACGATGCTCCACCGCCTTGTGGATCAGACCTTCAGGTGGAAGGCTCTGGGAGTGGCCCCCTAAGAAAACCACCTGCTTTGGTTTGGGCACCCGTGCAGTATCACAGCCCTCATACGTATCAAATGAGATTTGTGTGGCGCATATGTATTTGGTGCCTTCTTGTATCAATATCTGTGTGTTAAAATAAATAATAAAATAAATTTTGATAGCATTTGTATTCTTGAAATATCATCCTGAAATGTTGATTTTAAGCGTCAGATTTTATTAGTCAGGATTCATTCAAGTTATGCTGAATTTTACAGTACATTTTATTAAAAACAAATTTGTTGCGAAAAGCAATTAGTTAAGTCATTCTTGTTACTCAGTAGATTTTCAATTGATGTCATAATGTAATTTGAGCATAAACATGGAAAAAGTGATTAAGTTGTTGAGCGTAAAGCAATACTTTTTTATGAGGACTATCAACTTGAAACCAGTCATTATTGTGTAGTGGAATATGGGAAAGTTATAGAGTGACTGATTATATTGGACATTTTCAGAATTAGTATAACTTATCTTGAGAACTCAATATCTTATCTCACATTTTTATCCTTATTGATGCCTTTTTGGTTTTAACAATTTCTGATAAGTTAGTTGGCTAGAGGTTGTCAGCAATAAACCCTGGACATGGGTTTCGTGCTGATTTATAGTCGTTAACAAGTCACCTGGATTCTAGTGGGAACTAACGCTCCCTAGTGGATTCAGATCCACATCAAATAGCTTCACTGCTTGCAATTTGTAACCGAATTTTAATGGCCAAGATGAACCTGTCGTACGACTGAGATATTTACTCCGTCTACCTCTATTCACCTAACATCGAAACATTGGACACTCAAGGCAAAATTATTTAGTTTGGTGGACACGTGAACATCTAACTGCTAGCCGTATCCTGACCATCAACTTTGACAAGTACAAATATTAGTACAACTAATATTCTTCTTTTCGGTGGGATATACAGATTACAACTAAAAATTATACGTGAATATTAGGTTAAGGTGAAATATAAAAAAACATATTTCTTACTTCGTGCGAATGACCATGACTATGACCATGTCCATGATCAGATGTGTTTACGTCTTCCTGGTGATGATCTGGTAAGTCGATACGTAACTAAAAATGATGAGAATTATAAAAACAATTAACAGTTTGTCTATATTAGAATAAATAACTTGTTGAAATGAGAGAGAGATTTGAACCCTCACTAAAAATAAAGTATAGGTGACGTACTTTACCTAATGTAAAACTGAAAGTTTTATATCGATTAGTCATTATGTTCTAATCTATTTATTGTTTATCCACTTTTGGACGATAATGGAATTCTCTCATTCCACTTAATTCTTCATCATGGTACAATCTGTAACTAAAACTGCTTTCATGGTGATTATGCTTGCCGCAAACTGATCGATTAAACAATTCCAGTGATATAGTTCAGTTGAAGGGGTTCAGTGAGTAATAGTTCAGTATCTTTAAGGGTAATGAGGTTGATGATTGTAATAGTTAAGCATCCACTGAGTGAATTGAATGTCCTAAGCTTGGTCCCTAATATGATCTTGATTATGCACTACTGAGAAGGACTAAACAGCTGTATTGTACTTCTCGGTTTTTGATGGTACCTCAACTGAAATTAATGAATGGTATAAAACTAGAATGACAATAAAACAAGGTTCACCTGTTTTTCTGATTCTTTTGTCTTGGTCTCATTTTCATTTGCTATTGTAATTTTTGGTAAATTTATTGCAAGATTTTCTTGATGTTGTTGTTGTTGTATATCTTTCTTTGAGCTGTCCCCTTCATTAATTTGCTTTGATTTTCCGTCAGGAAGATCCAATTGTAATTCATGTTTTACCAATGGTTGATCTACGCTAATATCCTGTGAAGATCTTCTTGTAAGCTCATCGTATTCCTCTGCATAGCTGTAAAGAATGTCGATTGATTTCATTGCTGAAAAAAATTTATCCACATCAATGTTACAGTTTCGCTACAAAATACATTATCTAAGTGAATCTAATAAAGATGGTGCAGACCATAATTTACTTTTCGAAGTAACATTTTAGTGATTAAAATAGGACAATAAGTCAAAGTACCCACGGTCTATTTGTGTTGCATACTTTCGAAGTTGGTACATATATCCAAAGGTTATTGTTACAGTTCATGTTTCACAGCCTACACTAAGTACAGTTTCACAATTATACAGTGCTTATGAAATCGAAAAACAAAACAGTATTAATATTGGAAGTACTGTCCATTTGTGGTTGTAATCATTATATAAAGCTTGTCTGATGAAAATCATGTTTTTGCTTTTCACTGTCGACTTCGTGACTGACTGGCTAACTTATGTACTGTTTGAGCTGAAGAATTTCGATCATCCGTCGATTATATTATTTCGAAACCAGTATCTTCTGTTTACTTTTAACAACTGATGGTGAGTCTTCATAAGTTAAGTTAGTATTTATTAACACGTAAAGTCATGTTAAGTTGAAATACAATTCACAAAGATCTGTTTTAATCACTACCATAGATATAACAAAATAAGCGGTTTAATCAGTTAGTATGAAAGCTTAATCTTACCTTTACTACTTAATCCCGTAACAAATACATCTTCATTTGCGATAGACATAGCACGTGATGCTCTTCTACATGATGTAGGATCAAGTTGTGATAGTCTTCTAGTTTGTCCAGGTACTGCTAAAAGTCCACTTGGAGCTATAGATGGTCTTACAGAACTTAGACGACGAGTTACTGGAGCTACAGGTAAATTAAGTAATGCTCTTTCACGATCTTCCTATCAATCCCAAGAAAAATAAATTTGAAATTTCACAATTTTAAACTGTACTGTAATTTTGTTAAAAACTCTTTCATGTGTTTGCAACTGTAAAAAGTATTTATGCAATGTAAGTTGAATCATTTCATTTTAACTTGTTAGCATGGGAGTTAGATATTCTGGGAACTTAGGATCAATCAGTTAAGAGATTATCGATAAACTTGATAGGATTTATGAAACTTTAAGAATAAACATTATTCACTAAGAACAAGTTATTCACCTTAGATTCTTGTAACCTCTCCACAATATTGGATATTTCAGTTATTCGGTTTAATTTCAAGGTTTTATCTCCAAATACTTCATGTAGAAATGAACTGTTTAATTATTCCACAGGCACTAAATCAAGCAGTTCTGACGATCTTGTATATGACTGACTATTTCCTTAGGTTTAGTCAGTCTCATTTGCCATTTACTCATTGTAAACTGTCCAGTTCAATTGACCTCTTATGTACTGATCAATATAGTTTATGTTGTGATACAAGCACTGATTGACTGACCTGGGTTCTATACTTCCAGAAATATCCTATGATACTTCAAGTTTCCTCTGCAAAGAATTTAAATATTTTGAAAATTATGTTCTCTTCCCTGGTTATCTGTATGAATTAATTTATGTGCTGACATATCACATTGTTTTACTGCTATTCTATATCTGTATATAAGGTGATGAAGAGGAGAGTTCTACTTTGACCACTTTATAGCTTATTCTATTTGATAGAAAATTAATGTTCTATTGTTGTTAGCACTTACTCACAAATTGGTATTGTTGCTGAGTGTTATGAAAACCTTTACAAGGACAAAGGCTTTTTTGTCTAAAACTGCAAATAATAAGCCAGTGTTTTATTTATTTTATTATTTTATTATTATTAGCTTTATTCAATATTATAATTTTGGTACAATATAGAATTCTCAGCGCAAAGTATTTCAACAAGTTTCCGTTTCTTTCTTCTTGGTCGGTCCTGGCGATAAATATTGAGGAATCGCCAGTTAGATGTTAGCACTTCAGTGAATGAACAACTGAATAATGTACATTCTTTTCATTGTACATTGCCAGCAACCATATTGTCTCTTATTGAGTTTTCTGTAACTTTGACAACGAAAGGTTGTACACTTTTCAGAAACGCAGCAGAATAGGTTATGCGATTAATAAACATAATGATATATTAAAACAAACAACAATAGATAACTTGTTGAAATATCTAGATGGCAGGAACAGGTAGCCCAGATGCTCAAGCAGGCCGTAATGTCGTAATGTCTGTCATATTACTTGTTTAGAAAAACCTGATACATTTAAAAAATCTACAATCATAATATATAAATGGAAATATGATGGAAAACTCACTTTTTCAAGCTTTTTTTCAGCTCGATATTCAGAAGTTAAACTTAATATTTTCTCAGCCATGAAAAAGAAATATACACCACCCAAAGCTACAAAACCTTTCATAATTGCTATACGTTCACCATTTTCTTCCTTAGATGTTGTCAGTTCAGCTCCATGATCATGACCTTGACCACTGCTTATAGCCTGAATAAAAAAAATCAATAAATTATGTCGTCAAATCGAGACTAAGTGTTTTAACTACCTGATGGGTTTGACTTTGTAAACTGTTAATCATAGGCGTGAATGGTTTCATATAGGATAATTTGTACATTTAACATATAATTGATCCCAACTGTTACTCGTCACAACATAGTTCGTTTATTTCAGAAAAACACCCAGGAAATTGATACAACACATGAAAAGACTTGGAAACACTAACCGCTAGACAAAGATATAAAAACAAAGGTCGAATATATTTATTCCTATAATATTCCTTTACATTTGATTGGCAGCTGATTTTCAATACCTTTGGCTAAGTAGCTTTATGGGTAAAATTTACAAGTGTTTTAAGTGTATAATTCCGAAAGTAACCTATATAACTAAGTAAATGGTTTATATCCTCGTTTTTATCCCTAACTTTATATAAAATGCTGAACTTCGATGTAAATACTACAGTGTATTTTGATGTATTTCAATTCTTCCCAAGTAAGGTGTTAAAACAATTCTAATGATAGCATTATTGATAGTAATAGAGCTTCATCTTTTTTTTTGAGGTGGTGGAGACGATTTGTAGCTCAGGTGGATGATTTTGATAGAGTTTGGTTTACTGAGCTGGATGGTTTGGTCGTGGAGCTTTAAGCAAAAACGTCTACCTGAAGTTTGTACTGATGATGTCGTTCAGATGAACGATGAAGGATCCACGATCAAACCATCCACCTCAGAGAACAAAACTCTATCAAAATCATCCACCTGAGCTACAGATCGTCTCCACTATCTAAAAAAA